CCGCTGCACCCCGGCCGCTGTGTGGGATGCGGGTGGAGCGGCTAGGGTGACCCGCTCCAGGCACCCGCTGCAATTCAAGGCGCGCGGCTGGTTGGAGCCGCTGTGGGTCGGTCGCTGCGCTTGGGAGCGGCTTGGCTCACCCGCTCCATGTTGCCCGCTGTGAGTGTCTGGCTACAGCGACCAGGCAGGGCCGCTGTGAATCGGTCGCTGTGGCTCTCTCCGGGTCTAGATCACTCCTTTTGCTTCTTTTGAGCTTCTAATGAACCCCAAATGTCTCCAAAGCTTCCATGTGAAACTCCAATACCTAAAGGGGACTCATGTATGCAAAATGCAACCTAAACATGGCTAGAACCTAACCTACATGATGAAAAGGTATGCAAAAGAGTAGATAAAACAATGCAATAATGCAAGACATCAGTATCCCAACAACCAGCATAAAAAATCATTCTGAATCTCCCTAAGCTTTTGAAACATAATGACAATGATTAGTATACTAACTGTGAAATAGGTTATACTGAAGAATCAATTTCCACATATTGTAATCAAAACAAACCTTTTTACTTTCGAAATCAGTCCCACTTTGGTTGATCATGATGCAAATGTTCTAACAACAATTTAAAGTTGCTGTGAATACAAACAAATAAAGAACAATTGTGTTTATGATTACTATATTTGTCAATTTTTGTCTTTTCCCCCCCGGTGAGATTATAACATTTCTAAAAGTTTTTAATGACTTTGAAAAGTCTCAATAAGAAAGTAGATGAAACAGAGAAATAGAGCTCAATCAAATTCATAGTTAATAGCAGATTTGAATTTTTTTTTTAACACAAGCACATTTGAATCTTTAGACTGGAAAAATGTGCTATATATGAGTACAACATTGCAAATTTGCATATCTATAGAAAACACACACACACACATAAATAACCTTTTAAAAATGGTTGGAGAAGAGAATAGTTTATTTTTTTATCACAACATACACCATAACATTGCCTTTTTCACCTTAAAAGCCTTATTTGATGATTATCACTTGTGTTTATACCATTCATCTTCTTCATTTTATATATTAACTTACAGAGACCATATATGTGTATGTGTAGAGGTACATTGCTCAGTATTAGAAATGTCTCCTTCGAACCCTCTTCTTGCTCATGATTGGCGGCTCACCACTCCCCGGAAACTCCCATTTCACAAGATCTCCGTCCCACGAAGAGCTTATAAGCGTAGGATAATGCGGATGCCAATTACAGTCTCTCACAGGTGAGTTATGATGCTTTAACACTGCCACTTTATCTCCACTTTCCTACAAACATATACATAGATTCCAAGATTGGTCAAGAAGGATCCAGCTATCAAACTGTAACATAAAACCATAAAGAGCTACATTACCAAGTCATATATGTAGACAGAACTGTCGCTGGATCCTGTGTAGATGTACTTTTGGCCAGTACTGTAATAAAAGAAAGAATCAGACACAATGTAAAGAGAGTTATTCTATGTCAAGCTTGGAACATTATTGATTTGAGTTTTGAGAAGACTGACCTATGTACTGGAGAGAAGTAGCAACGGATAAGGGTGCGCAACACTGAGTGACCTTTATATGTGGACACTGACTGATCATAAGGATGCTTTAGATCTCTGGACTCCGAAGGGTAATCCATCCATCTGTAATCCCATTCATAGTTTCTGTGGAACTCATGCCTGAGTAAGAAAAAGCACACCACTTCAACTTCATTCTACTAATCACTTGTCACATATCATAGAAGATTGTTGTTACCTTGCAGGTACGGTGGATGACATTTTTCTGATATCCCATAGTTTGATGGTTTGGTCTTTACCATTTGAAATGAAATAGCGACCATCTCCACGGCTATCGATAAATGTAACACCCTCGAGGTGTCCCACTAGAACACCAGCTGGCTTATCTCTCCCAATGAAACAACGCCTATCCCACACCTATTTTGCGCAAATGATCCTTAGAACTTTTCTTATAAAGACAAAGAAAATGATTGCAGCTTACCTTGCAGAGATTATCATCACCTCCAGATAAAATGAGGTGTCCACTTTCATCGGCGAAACACACAGTATTCACATCAGACTGCAACAATGGAGAGTATGCTATCAGTATTGGATGAAAATTTTCACCGGAAGCATGAATGTAGAGCTAGGAAACCAAACGAGAAATGATTTCTACCGTGTGTGCAACAGTCCGGAGTGAAACTCGATTAGCTTCAAGATCATAAACATAAATGGAATCATCACTGCTACCAGCAACAAGCTCTCGTCCATCGGTTGAAAATTTCACAGAGAATATCCCAAAAGAGTAGCCTCCATCTTCATCAGTTGAGAAGTCTAATCCATCATGGATCTCCTGCAAAAGACAAGCACCTCAGAAGTTAATTAAACACCATTACGAAGCTGCTACTGCTGCTGAGATACCATCTCATTCAAATATCCTGCTCTTACTAACAAAGTATTGTGGGTTAATACCGTAACATTTGCATGAGACTCGCTTGCACCAGACCCAACATCGACGATGTGAACAATAGGTGACATGCTTGCATAAACCTGCAAAAACAAAAAGAAAGATTCATTGTTCCTTTATAAGAAGAAAGTTTTGATATAACAAGAGACCATGAAGACTACTAAAATACTCACAAGAGTGTCATTTTGACATTTTTTCACACAGATTATGGAAATGATTGGAATGTAATTATGTTCTTATTAGTTAAGACTATTTAAGCAATACTACTTGAGATAAATAAAATTATTGATAAAATTAATGCATTTTCTAATTAATTTTATGCTTAAAAGTAAAAATAAAAATAAAAATTCATTAGAACTGTAAAATAACAGTGTCACAAGAAAACTTTATGAAAGAGAGGGGGTGGAGTATGATAACGCCATAACGAGGTAAATTTTGCATTTTAAAATCATATGAGACATATTCAGATCAAACATGAACAACTAGTTGAAGAAAGATACAAGAACTCACCAGGTTTCGCTGATCAGGGGACAGAGAAGTATCTGTAACAGTCCAACGCAAGGTTTTTGTAAGGATATCTTTTTGGACTTTCCAACCTTTCTCTACATTAAAAACCCGAATTTGACTTCCCTGAAAGTAAGTTCCAAAAAAAATAATCAAGAAAGTGTTTCTCATATTAGATAATACACATTAACTTAGGAAACTATGGTGAGTCTCCTTATCATTGAAATAAAACTTTGCAAACAGAGAAAGCCAAGAAATTTCAGAAACATTTACTTGAAAGCCAGCAATAAAGAGAGATCCATCAGTTGAAAACTGAGAAACATAAGCTCGACTGTCCATCTGATCAACAAGCCAAGGACCCTTAACAGGCAAATATCTACTCAAGATATGGCAACGATCAGCTGAAGAAAACTTCCCTCTTCCAGAGAAGTTACTCTCACGACCAGCCAACATCCTCACAGTGGAAACAGGCAACTGATGTCTCCCAGGGACTTGACGGCTAAACCGCTCATGAGGACAAGACTTCAACTTAGTAACATGGCTGATCTCATGGTCTAAATCAGCCAAACACTCACTTGATCTGTTACTACTACCACTGCTGCTACTACCAACACCACAGTAGCCTTTTCCAGCATCGCATAGATCGGATTCAATCTCGAGTCTACTCATTGCATAACCCATTTCATCAGTATCAAAATCACTTGGTCCTGAAAACATTATAGGACATCGACATTCGCTTGTACTTGACAATTCACCTGCCAAAACCATATAATCAAAGTTTCATCAATAACAAACTATGACACATCAATTTAACAAAACCCAAGTTCTAAATCAATCAAAGTCGTCGTCTTTAAATTCAAAACCCTAATTACTGAATCAAAAAGATGAAATCACCAGAGATATCGAGAGAAACAAGGATCACTTCAAATTGAGAGCTTTGGGAGAGCTGTGATCCTAAATCGGATCGCGAATTTGATTGGAAAAGAGTCGGATTTGAAGATGGTTAATTGATTTACCTGTACGAAGAGGACAATTCGTAACGGTTCGCAAAGGCTACCCTTTTGTCTTTTCTTTAACTTGTAAAACTTAACATAACTGAAGTTCTCGCAAGTTAAAGTTTTTGCCTTTTTCAATAAATTTGATGAGCGGATATGGTTTTGTTGTCGACGTGTGTGTTGATGAAGCGTGCATAAGCTGTGTTGCCACGTTTGACTTTGTACCATAGAGCTATCAAGTGTTGTGGTCACTCCAAATCATTGATTACTTACCAATATTATTTATACTCAATCAACACTACTAGTATTTAGTTTATATTACATGATCAAGGTTTTAGATTTTATCTTTTGATTGAATTAAAACATTCGCAACTTCAAACCCATTGTCACTCTCACTCAAGGCTCAACATATGAATTGTAATTAGTTTTCTGTGAGACAAAATGACCAAATCCTGCATTGTTTTGCAGTAAAACCATAGTGTAATAATATCTTTATTTACAATATAATATAATACCCATACTTCATTCTTTCTTCTTTCCAACCTGTACATATAATGTAAAGGCAAAACAAACGACACAATACTAACTGCACTGTTCAGAATCAGACCTCACACCATGAACAACTATTATTTCTTCACTCCTTAACTACAACCGGATGGTGCACATAACCGTGGTCCTGAAATCAAGCTGGTGATTAAACGGCGGCTTAGCAACAACAGACCTCCAACACTTCTTCTTCAGATCATACACATGAATCATCAACCAACCAGCATTACTCCTCTGTCTAGTATACCTAGTATCACCCAAATTATACCCATCCAACAAAATCATAACATGCAACTCCCCATTCACCTCCACAAACCCAACAGGTTTATCAAAAGGACCTTTCTTCGGCACACTCGTCTCCATCACCCAACGATTCAAACCCACCTCATACCTAAGAACCAAATCCCTATCCAACATAAAAAACACAGATCCCACAGCAACAATCTTCCCTTTCTTAGCACTCTCCCCCTCCCCCCACATATCTCCAACCAAACGCCACCCCTCACCACCCTCCAGCTTCATCACCGCCGCGTCTTTACAATACTCATCAACAGGAAGCACACCAGAAACAGTCCTTGACCCTCCATACCCACCCATCACCCAAAACTCCCTCTCAACAACAAACCCAACACAACCAGCTCTAAACCTAGGCAACTCATCCCTCTCCCTCCACTCATCTCTCTCCACATCATACTCCTCAACAGAACTCATCCTACTCCCCGCAGCACCGAACAACGAATGCCTCGACCCTCCTCCCGCCACAACAATCCTCCTCTCCCCACCAATCACCCCGCAGGCGAAGCTGCCACGTGGATAAATCATAGGAGCCAACCGTTCCCACTCCGACTTCACGAAGCTGTAACGGAAAACAGACGCGCTAGGCAAAGGACGATCGAGAGGATACGACCTCGTATCGAAAGCCGATCCACCTAACACGTAGAGATCAGATCCCACCGCCACGGCTACGAAGTTGCAGAGACCGTACACGTGGGGGTTACACGGCATCAAGGGTAGAGATCTCCAGGAGAGAGTGATGGGATCGAAGAGGAAAGGAGGGGAGATTGAAGGATCTTGAGGGAAGATGCAGAGGAGATGCGAGAGGTTGTTGTTGTTGTTTTGGTTGTTACGGAGTGAAATTAGGGTTTTGGAGGAGAGGAAAGCGTACCATGATTTGGAGGTTGATTTGAGGCGGGGGATGTGTGGGTAAGGGATGAAGGAGAGGATTAGTCTTGCGACGTCGTTTGATAGGCCTGGGATTAGGGTTAGGGTTGGGTCGATTCGTGGCTTCGGGCGTGGGAGATAAGATCGCGACGACGACGATGATGATGATGATGATGATTGGAGGCGTGAGGTGAAGATGGGTAAAGGCATGGTTTATGGTGATGGATCAGTGAAGCAGAATCATGATCATGAGGAAGATGGAAATGATCGAAGACTGATTCTGATTCCTCGTCTGGGATTTTTTTTTTTTTTAAAAGAAAAGGTAGTAATGATCAGGGAGTGTTGCTTATTGGGCCTTAAGTGGGCACAAAATAGGGCATTTTATTAATTTGCAAGGAATATCACAGAATTGGGGGAAATTTCATAAAAATACCTTAACTAAAATTTCGTTAAGTTTTTTAATATTCAATTTTTTTTTGTTATCCAATTTAACCAACTAACTATTTTGCTTATTTTAGTACATAAACTTGGGAATATACCAAATATAACTCAAAACTTGGTTTCAAATGCAAAAGTAAACCAAACATGAATCAAATACAAAAATAACCTAAAAGACTATTGAAATTACAATCAGTCCCTTGTGAACAAACAAAAAGTTTGAAATCATGTAATTAACATATGTTTTAAGAGATATACATTAAGATATAATAAAATTTAATTTTTTTCAACATAGAAGAGTGAAAGTAGTGAGTCATGATATTATTTGGTTTAGGTTTTGCCAACATATCCCCTATATATTAAAGGAGAAACATTGTCATTTAATGTGTTCACATTACGTTTACTACGTGGCAGTCTTACATCGATTTGAGAACGAATACGCTGACGTTACACGTATATAGAGATTCTCGGCCAAATTTTATATAATTACGTTCACACTATATTTTGTTTTACATTTCTTTCAATCAAGAACTTATATATAAGATTCTACGGATTATATCGATATGAGAAGGAGTACGCTGACGTGTCACGTACAGAGAGATTCTCGGCCAAATTTTACGTAAATACGTTCACACTATATACTGTTTTACATTTCTTTCAATCAAAAACTTATATATATGATTCTATGGATTATACAAAAATTCTACATAGAAAGACAATTTACAATAAAAATCACTATTTTCTATACTTATTTTATTTTTACTTAATTTGTTTTAAAAGAATATTATATTTCCTGTTTTATTTTTAACTAATTTTTAATGTTAAATTATGGTATATTTATATATTTATAAGGGCTTTTTGCAAATTTGACTCAAAACTCCAAGTCAAACACAAAACTAACCTCTTCTTTTGACTCATCTTGTTTTTGTCCTATTCACCCCACATCTTCATTTTATTTACGAAAATGCCATTTATATGTTTTTTGAATTTTTTTTCGAAAATGGCATTTTTACTCTCTCAACCTCATCATCTTCAAGTATTTACA